GGATGGAGATCGCACCCGTGTGGTCCTCTCTGGGTGGGCAGGCAGGGCAGAGACAGGGCCTGGGCTCTGCTCCCTTCCTGCTCTGGGCCTGACCGCTGGGATCACAGGGGAGGGGCTCTTGGGACGGTTTCCTCCCATAACTTTCCCTTCTGGGGAGAAGAGTGGAAATTTCCTCACTTCCAAGGCAACATGAGGATTGGAGAACGTCTCCCCCAACCCCACTCCACAACAGAATGGTGGTTTGCTTCGGAGCAAAAGCCCAGCGCTGCTTCCAGACCTTTGGGGAGTGAGGAAGCAGGATGTGGAGAGATGGGCAGACAGGAAGTCAGCGGGGCCCTCGGACACTGCTGGGCTCCCTCTGTTCCAGGCCGTCTCTCTCTGGGTTGGGAGAGGGGTGAAGGAACTGATTTGCAAGCACAGGGAATTCCTCCCGAGGGGCAGTGGAGGCAATGTGGGTTCAGACCACTTGCGCCCTGGACAGAAGGCTGCTTTCTTCCCCGGGAATCCTGAGCACAGCGGGTCCCGACCCCTCGGCTGTTCCAGTCCCAAACACTGTTTGTCTCCTCTGTGCTGGGCCACTGCAGGTCAGCCGCTGACTTAATGCTGGTCCCTGAAGCAGCTTTGTTCCCTCAGAAGTGTCCATCCGCAGCTGCTGGGGACCCCTCCCAAGCCTGGGTCACTCAAGGGAGCAAGAAGAGCTCTGGGTGTACGGCAGGCAGTGTGGAGTCGTCACAGAGCCAGATCTCCGGGCTTAAAATCCCAGACCTGCTGTTTACCAACTGTGTGGCCTTGGTTGAGTTCCTTAACCTCTCTGTGCTTCAGTTTCTTCATATGTACAACAGGGATAATTTAGTACTTATCTCTTGGGGTTATTGTGAGGAGTAAATTATTTCATACAACGCCCTTAAAACTCATGCCTGGGTACTCAGTGAAGGCAAGCTGCTGTTTTTATGGGTCCAGGTCTAGGGAAAAGGGTGAAATCTCTAGGGGAACGGGGAAGTGCTCTTCTGTGTATGGAGCTCTGTCTAAGGGCTAGCACGCTGTGGCCTTCCTCATGAACTGCTCACAAGGACAGAGGAGGAACCACCGTCCCCTACATTACAGCGGTCCAGCTGAGGTTCCACGCCTGGGACTGTCGGTTCCAGACCCCATGCCCTTTGCTGCCTCCCCCATGCTGGCCAGCCCCGAGAGAGACTGGGACAACATAGGGTGTTTATGGTATTGAGGGGTAGCTGCTCCTGGGGCCTCAGGGAAGGAACAAGGCTGCTCCGCTGAAGCCAGGGGTCGGCTTCTGTCTTCCTGCTCCTCGGTCCACAGGCTGAATCTGGCCTCTAGCAGCTTCTGAGCCCAGATACCCAGAAGGGACTGAATCTCTCTCCTTCTAATCCCAGCTCCAAAATTCCTGGGAGAGGGCCCAGGCAGTGTCCGATGACCATCCTTCAACGGCCAGGACCTAGTGTTCTCGTGGGAACGTGGCAGGTCCTGTGCAGTCACATGGGTGCTGGATGGGGCTGGGGAGGGGCTGCCCCGGAGAGGGGGAGCCGGTGGACAGTCCAGAGGTGTCTGCTCAATGGCTCGTTTTTCTCTTCGCTCTCCACCTTTGCCTCCGTGCACTCCTCCTTCCTGTACTTTTCCGTCTTGGCCTGTGTGCACGCGGATCCCGCCTCAACCTCACTACCCTCACGCTTCTCCCTCCCGAACTGCAACCCGTCGCCACTGCCTGAGACCCCACGTGTTTCTTCATCTAGGTTTCTCAGACATTTCAACGGTTCTGCCCTTATTTCCACACCAGGCCAGCTCGTAGGCTGTCTCGCTTTGGGACAGGCTGCCTTGTGGTGCAGAGCCTGCGTTCAGGAATCTGCTGGGGTAACACAAGGCCCCCCTCCAGCAGGGCCGTGGCTGGGTGACTCCACGTGGGCGTGGAACAGGGCGGTGCCGTGCGGAAACAGCCCTTATAGTGGCCACCAACAGGACGCTGCTTCCGAGAGCCTTCTCATACTTTCCCTCCCAGGCATCCCTTGAGACGGCCCGGGATGCTGAGGGCATTTGTCCAGCTCCTGCAGCAACAGAGACTCAAACGTATGACAGCTTAAACACATTAGAGGATTATTTCTCGTTCGCGTAGGAAGTGGGGAAGAGCCAGTCCAGAGTGGATTTGATGGCACTGTGGCGTTGGGTACCCGAGCTCCCTCTGACTTGCTGTTCTATGGTCCCTGGGGCTCTGGCCTCATCTTCACAGATCGAGATGCGTCACTACCACATTGCGGCCAACAGGAAGGGGACATGCGTCTCCCTTTCCTTGGAAAGCAGGAGCCAGAGTTGCTCACATTACGCGGCCACATCAAGCCACAAGAAGGCCTGCAGACGGAGTCACTAGTCTGGGTGGCCGTGTGCCCAGCTGAAAGTTGGGGAGTCTGTTTCTAAGGAGGAAAGGAAGAATAAATACTGGGGACAGTGCCTCCACCATTTTCCCATCACTCATCTTTGCCCCCTCCCCACCATCCTGTTGTCGTCACCTCCTGGCTCATCCCCACTCCTGATGCCTTCTCGTGGGGCTCTATTCCTCATCCCACTGATGCCCCCGTGGACGGGGCCCTACAGCTCCACCCCCAGGGTCCCCTGAGAACTTCCTAGCTGGTCGCTTGCCTTCAGCCCCTCTCTCTCCACCTCCCTCTGTGATCATTCTGAGGTGCAAATCTGATCATGTGGCTCCACTGTTTAGACATTCTTCAACGGCTCCCGCGGCCAAGAGCAGTGAGGTTTTAACCACAGATTTCTGAATCCCTGAAATTACATGCAAACTTTGCACGTGTGCATTTTTCTGAAGCAGGCTTCAGATTCTCAAAGGGGTCTGTGGTTCCCCCTCCAGTTCCACGCCGAAGTCCAAATGCTTTCTCTGAACACACAAACAAGACGTGTCTACCGACATCCCCCAGGTCTCCTCCCCAGCTCTTCCCTCACAGAACCTGAAGTCCCTCGGAGCTTCTCTCTGTTGCTCAGCGGGCACGCTCTGTCACTTCCATGTCCCCACACCCACCCTTCTACCTAGAGCACCCGGCGGACTCCTACGCATCCTTACGTCTTGACTCAAAAGCCACCGCTCTGTGAGGATCCCTGATGCCCTGTGGCCGAGCCAGTCTCCACACACCATTCGGACCTGCACCACACACCCTACTGTCAGCCTACGTCTCTCCTCCACCGACCCACGAACCCGGAGCGCAGGACCTGAAGAGACGGTCCCCCGGTGTCTGTGGAATGAGTGTCACTCGTGCCCGGCGCACGGGAGCGCTCTTTCTAGGGGCAGGTGTGAGCGCTGGTCCCTGCCCTACCCTTTCTCTCGGGTCTCAGCTCGAGGCAGTGGTTGGTGTCTGGTTCTTCCAACACCCCTCGTCAGTGGTCCCTTTCATCTTGAGGCTTTCTGCATGCTTCCTCCTCGGCTCTTTGCCTGGCTAAGGCCTGCTCTTCCTTCAGACAGCCTGACTATCCGCCAGGAAGCCCTTGGGATCCTCGCACCCTCAGACAGGCCAGGCTCCCCTGAGCAGCCCCAGGGCACCTTGTCTTCCACAGTTACCACAAACCTTATACCGAGCCAAAGTGCCTTGTGCATCTTCCTTCCCTGCTCAGCCCAAGCTCTGCGTCCGCCCCGCCCACCAGCGCGGCCCCAGCCCCACACGCGGTACTTGGTGGAGGCGGGTAGCTGAGAGGTCTGGGTTAAGTTGAGGGTTAGACGGATGAGTTTCTCAGTCATAAATCTGGTCTTCAATGGCCTCCACTGCCTTTAGAACAAAGCCTCACGCCGGCTGCAGGCACCTTGCGATCCGGTCCCCACGGTTTTTCAGCCTCCTCTCCTCCAAGTCCGCCCTCTGGTCGCAGCGTCTCAAACGGTATGCGGCAGTCCCACTGAACTGCAGGAGGGTCCCCACGTTCCAGCCTCGCAGTGCTGGTCCCGCTGCCTGGCACGCGCTCACCTCCCACTCCTCTTCTGATTCTGCGTAATCCACTAATCTTTCAGTTTGCAGTTCAGGTACCTCTTCCTCCAGGAAGCTTCCCTCGGCTTCCTGAGACCAGCTCTGGGGCCCTTTTGGGTGCCTCGGCAGTATTCTGGGCCTCTTTCTCACCATGCTATTTTCCCCAAGAGATGGTGAGGTGGCAGTCTGAACCGTGTCACTTGACGTCTCTAATGCCAGCCCAGCGCCTGCACACAGTGGGCACTCCAGAAACGCCTGTGGAGTGAACTGTCACCTGGCCTCATTCCTCACTGTCAGCATATGGGTCCTGTCCTCCACAGCGGCGTGTTCACTCCATGAGGGCAGTGAGGGGCTGACCTATCTGTGGGTCTCTCCCCAGGCCTGAACTCAATCCTTGTCCCTGGTGAGCCTGACACGTTGCTTGGAGGCTGTGTTGTCAGGCGCTTGACACATGTGTTAGTCAGCAGAATTGGCTTAGGGTCTTGGAAAGCCCAGGCTTGGGATCATGGTAACTCAGATACTGTTTTTGCAGAGGGGGGCCAAAGGTGCCTTCTAAGGCCAGTGTGGGTCAGTTTTGATGGCTGTTTGTTGACTGGATTCTAGAGGAGAATGACAGGGAGGGAGGCTGCTCATCTTACCGTGTTCCGGGATCCGAATGGGACAGTTACCCCCGAGGGATCATGTGTTCACATTCCAAACTCAAGATTAAAAGAAACATTAAAAATCTCAGAAAAGATGGACAAAGTCTTATTGATAATGACTCCGTGGCTTTGATCTCTAGGAAAACCAGTTTGCCTTCTCTAGTAAATATGCAGATTTTAACAGCTGGACTCAAATGAGAGATTTGTTTTAAAAAAAGTGCCCAGATGAAAGTTGCCTCCCCCTCCCAAGTGAGATGCAGAAAGAGACCCCAAGCTGGCAACATAGGACACGGACGCCCCTCTGCCGTCTGCAGACACACGACAGCAGGACCCCACGCAACTGCCCGAGAACCACGGGCAGAGAAAAGCAAAGAAACTTTGAGACAAAAGATTGAGAGGCAGCATTTTAATACACAGTCAGGACAGGCCAAGGCCTTGCTACGCTGGGTGTGGGGCGGCCCAGCTGCATCAGCACCCCCGGAACTGGCTGGACATGCAGACTCTCAGCCCCCCCAGACCTGCTGCCACCTAGCCAGCCTTCCAGGTGATCTGTACGCACATCAAAGTTGGAGGAGCACTGGGCTAGGTTGTTGCTTTTAAAATGTGCTTTGAGGTCAAAATAAACCCATTTAAAGCATTTTTAGCTCATTATTGGCTCCACTCTCTCCACCCCTGAGTCACACCATCCTGCTCTGGGGCTTTGAGCCTCTTGTGAACCACGACGGACACGGACGTTCCCACTATTTCCGTACCGTCTTTGTGCACTGGATTCCAAAACCTCCATCAGCGGTTTCCTGCACAACACCCCCAGGCAGCCGGTTGTAGGGTGATTCCCACTTTTAGAGAAGATAGAACTGGGGCCCAAGAAGGCTCCGTAACTCACCCAAGAGGCACCAAGCAAATCGGCAGCTGAGTCAGAATGAGAACTCAAGCTTCGGAGTTTGTAAGGTGAGACGGATGCACCCAACTTTGACGTCTTTCCTTTTTTGATAAGGGACATTTTTTGCATAAGAGACTCAGGAAAGAACGAATTCATAGATAACCTTGTGTGAGTTACTGAACATGAGCTGTGCACATGTGGCCCCCTGGGATGATGAAAGTTTAAGAAAGAACTGTCCCGTGGAGAGAGATGTCAGCCCAGGGCGGGCCCTGCCGGGGTCCCACACTTGTGCTGCAGCCCAGGCCAGCAGGTCCTGCAATTGGAGTCTTGGAAACCTCAGAGCCTGGGGAGGAGGGCTCATAGCTCACTTCTAAAGGCTATGAGGGCAAGGAGGGGCATTACCACAAGGTCATGTGTACAGCTGTGGCTTCTGGATGACCATAACCGGCCCGGAGGATGCTCACTCTGATCCATTTGTTTCTTTCACAGATTCAGGACAGCAGACGTAACTGGACTCTGCCTAAATACGAGTGTGTGCTTCACTGGATTGGATTTCTTGGTTAATTCCAATTTCCCTAGAGCGAATTGGACCCACTCGATGACTCAGACATTGTCAAGACTGTATGTCTGGCTCTGACACCAATGTGCTTCTTCCTACCTCGTCTGAATTTAAGATTTCTGTCAACCCCAACCAAACAAGGGCCCCAAAGGGGGCTTGTTGCATTTCACCCGTCCACGTGGCGATTCTCCCTGGGTCCTCTAGAGGAGGACGGCCAGGGTGGCTGCAGGACCCCTCCTCTCTACACATGCATATGCAGCAGGACATACCCATATACAGTTGATCAAAAAACAAAAAGACGGTGGACTTTAAAATTCCATGTCAAAAGTATTGCTTTGCTAATGTGCTCCTGCCCGGCTGCGTGTTACACGGCGCTACACAGGGTAGAGGCACAAGGAACTCAAGGCTAGAGATGTCTGGGCCGCTCAGATACCAGTGCCCCCTGCACCTGCAGCCTGCCTGCAGCCGCATGATGGGGGGCTTGGCCTAAGGCAAAACTACAAAGCATCCTAATGAGCAGAATTATATGAGGGGAATGTATGTGCATATTTGACATAATTTCTTCTCTTGAGGGGTGGCCCTCGGGCTACGACCCCTACCCATGCCCTCTCCGGGGCGAGGGAGGATCCAGAAAGGAGGCCCTTTGTTCCCCTGGCCAGCTTTTCCGCAGCCCCTATGGCCCCAGGGACCTGCCCTGCTCCGCGTGGGCCCGCAGAAGCCCTGCAATTTCCACATGGGCGGGTGACTTCAGGACGATGGACAAAGCCGTCCGGCCAGCCTGCAGAGGAGAAAGAAAAGCAGAAACAAATTTCATCCCTGCCCTAGAGAGGAAGGGAGAGTTGGGAGCAGGTGACGTGCAGGGGGCGTGGCTCTACTCCACGTGTCCCCAGACCCACGGAGTCGAGGAGGCTCCTAGGCCATGAGGCCCGTGAGCAATGGGCCTCGTTCCAGGAAACGGCATTCACCCCTGGGAATCCGTGCAATGGAAATAAAGACGTGTTGCTTGGCTTTTAATACATTTTTTTAAAAATTGGGAAAAAGAGAAAAGACAAGAACTCTTCCATTATTCCATTACATGGACCTAAATGACAGTTCGCATTTTCATGTTTCCCTCCAGTCTTTTCTCCTGTGCACATTCATTGTTGGTTTTTAAACAGGAATGATAGTGTGTACCAATTTTGAATCTGCTTTTTTTTTTGGAGGAAGATTGGCCCTGAGCTAACATCCACTGCCAATCCTCCTCTTTTTGCTGAGGAAGACTGGCCCTGAGCTAACATCCGTGCCCATCTTCCTGTACTTTATACGTGGGATGCCTGCCACAGCATGGCTTGATGAGCAGTGTGTATGTCTGTGCTCAGGATCCGAACCAGCAAACCCTGGGCCGCTGGAGCAGAACATGTGAACTTCACCGCTGCACCACAGGGCCGGCCCCTGCTTTCATTTTTAACTTATGGTATGCTGTAAGATTTTTCTCTGTTCTTACTCAGTCATCCTAACTTTTTCCCCCCTGTTCTTACACAGCCATGATATAATTTTTCTTAGTGGCCACATAATATTCCATAATTTACTAAATTATTTCCCTTCTATTGCAGACTTATGTTGTTTCCAAGTCTTCACCATCATAAACTTAGCACAGAAAGCATTTTCTCATTTCTAATTTCTTCCTGAGGACCAACTTGTAGAAGTGGGCTCACAGCATGGAAGGACATGCACTTTTTTTGTGTGTGTGTGAGGAAGATTGGCCCTGAGCTAACATTTCTTGCCAGTCTTCCTCTACTTTGTACGTGGGATGCCACCACAGCATGGCTTGATGAGCGGTGTGTAGGTCCGCACCCGGGATCCGAACCCGTGAACCCTGGGCCACCGAAGTGGAGCATGTAAACTTAACCACTATGAGACCATGCACATTTTGACCTCGTGGCGCAGGACACCAGTGTGCTTTTTACACAGCCGCCACCATGCAGGAAGCTGCTGGTCCCACTGCCTAAAGCAGCCACCGTCCAAGGGGCTCTCGGCAGCAACGCCGGCCACTCTCTCCAGAGAGAGGAGGGGACGGCCAACAGGACGAGTGCATGCTGGGCTCTGCGAGGGCAGCCAGTCTCTTAGGAGTGGGGTCAATCCCACAGCCAGAATTCTGAAATCTAAACAGCTCCGCAAACCAATTTTTTGGAAACTCCTTTGGAGGTGAAACCCGACCTGATGCTGTCTATGACCCTTATTCAGCCTACTGTGAACATTCTTGCATTTTGCTGCATAAACATTAGTGGGTTTGGTATGTGGGGGGCACCCAAGACCCACCAGGTTGTTCTTACTGCATAAGGGCAGGCCTGCTTCCTAAAACATGAAACGTCCACAGAAGCAGGTGGGAAGGGTTCACACTCAGCTCAAAACGCTTCAGCCTCTTCTCTGTGCACCAGGAGGAGTCCAGCTGCCGTGGGCTCCACACACGTGTCAGTAACTATAATGCAGGCAAAAGGCCAAGCAGTCCAGAAGAGGAACAGAGTTTGTCCACTGTGTGTGTGTGTGAGTGTGCAAGTGTGTGTGTATGTGAGTAGGGGGGAACGGAACAGAGGAAGGAAGGGGTGTTTCAGCGGGACCCCAAAGGATGGCACACGGGCTTCACAAAGCATACAAGCTTCTTTCTCTGAAAAGGCCCCGTGCCCTCCATGCCTTCCTTTCACCCCCTCTATGAGCTGCTGTCATGGGTTATCTGATACAGCTGTCTTGTCTCCACGAGGTCGGACACTGGCTGCGGCCTCTTCCTGCTGGCCCAGCACCTGGCCCAGCGCCTGCCTCTGGTCGGCCCTCGATCAGCTCTGTGGGGAAGGGGAAGCTGGATGATACCAGAGTTATCCCCTTCAAGCTGATGGAGAACCAGCCCAGCAAAAGTCTTCATGAGTATTTTCTTAGATTGGACATGTTTGGAACAAAGCCCAGACTTGCAGCGGAGGAGTCTTGTAAAAGGCCCACAAGAGAGGGGCCTGGTCTGTTTAGGCCCATCCCCCTGCACTCTGGCCTCCAGCCCTGGACTCTGTCAACCCCAAGGCTCCACATAAACATGCAGGCAGTGCAATTACCGTTACGATGGGAGAGTACGGGGCCAGGCCCAGGGGCACGCGCACCTCTGAGCACAGCCCGCGTGGAGATGACAGCCTGCGTCTGCGGGTTCCCCAGCTGCGGACATGGAGAGTAAGGGACCACCTTCAGCTCAGAAAGTGTGGCCAGAGAGACCACCTGGGAGCCTGTGTCCCTCCCATGGGAACAAGCCTACGGTGTGCAGCGCCAGTGTGACCAGGCATGGCGAGCCCTGCTCTGCAAGACTGCAGGTCCGAGAGGTGCAAGGGGCCCTGGCAGCCAGCAGACCTGTGTGTGTGTGTGCATGCACGCGTATGTGTGTGCCTGTGCACGCACACATGTGTATGTGTGAATGTACGTGCACACATGTACGTGTGTGCATGCATGTCTGTGCACATATGTGCGTGTGCACATGCATGTGTGTGTATGTGTGCGTGTGTGCGCATGCGTGCATGTGTAGGAGGTGGGGGGTTATCTTTCGACAGCAGCAGAGCTCACCAAAAACCCACCATGTTGGCACAAAGATGAGGAGGCGTGGTCTCTGCCTTCAGGAAGCTCTCAATTGGACGGCTGCCAAAAAGCCTTCAAGGGTGAGCCTGGGCCTGGCTCAGTCCTCACCACCTCGTGTCCTATCACCCTGGCAGCCCCAGGAGGCCAGGTGACCAATTTCTTGAATGACCTTCTAACCCAGGGGCCATGCCTTGCCAGCTGTTCTGGGGGCTCTGCATTTACATCAACCATCAAATGCTGGTAGGATGAGAGGAACCAACTTCAGGTCCTGAATTCTCTCAGTTTTCCATGGGATGATCGAACAATCTAGGCCACATCGAAGCCTCCGTGGGAAAATGAACACTGACATGATGCGGCGGCCCTGACGAGGACAACTCCCCCCGCAGACGCAAGCCCAGGGCTCCGGGCTCCTTGGCTAGTCAACGGTTCCACCTCCCACGGGAACTTCTCCCCAGGTCCCCTTTGGGCAACTGGGGTGTGACTCCTGTGTCAACCCTGACCAAGCAGGCAGCAGGTGCCCGGATCATGAGTGAGGTCCAGACCCTGTGGGCCTGCTGCCCCACCACCTGGGTACCCTGAGCCTGCTGGCTGCCCTGACTTGTCCACCTTCCACAATGGCAAGCTTCTGCCGCCATCTCCTGTTGGGCGGTCAGTACCCCCCTCCCTGAGGCTGCGAGCCCGGACCTGCAGCCGGCCTGGTCTCAGACCCTCGTCCGGCTCTCCCTGACCCCGCACTTGACCGAGACGGCCGCCTGGTACCACCTGGACTTCGGCACTTGCCTACACCGGCCTCCTCATCCGCGGCACTCCTGACCTGCTGGTGGGATCATCTGTAATTCTCCGTGTTCCCGTGCACTGCAGGATGCTTAGCAGCATCCCACCTCTACCCACTGGGGGCCGGGGGCACCCCTCCCACACTTGTGACAAAAAAAAACGTCCCCAGACATTGCCGAGTCTCCCCCGGGGGGCAAAATCACCCGGATGAGGGTCGCTTCTCCCTTTGGGGGCCAGGCTCCTCTAACCCCAGACCCTCATCCTCCCTGCTTCCTCCAGGCACTGCGGACAAACGCCCAGGCCCCACTCAGTCCTGTGGCCGCTGCTTCGCGTCAGCCACCACTGTCGGCCCCTCCATAACAGGGACAGTTGCCGGCCAGTGAGCGCCTCTCGGTGTCAAGCACAGGCCTCACCAACATTCCCGTTCTCAGGGATGGCCTGTTGCTGACCCCACTTACCGACGAGCACCAGAGGCTCAGAGTGGCCAGGTGACCCGCCCGAAGGCACTGAACGCACTTTCACACTTGCGAGTGTGTAAGTCCCTGCTTCTCACGATCGCTCCACTTGTCTGAGGCATGGTGAGCCCTCCCACCACGGCCCTTCCTCGCCTCCCAATACAGCCCCTGAGCTGTGTCTGTGACCGACCCGCAGAGGCGTCCAGACTCACTGCCCATCCGCCAGCTAACCAGGGAGCCCTGTCCACGGGCCCACCTCTCAGGCCTCCGTGGCCACTAAGGGGGCCCTGGCCCACTCCAGATCGGGGGCCGCCTCCTTCTGCCCCAGGCGACCCTGCGGAGCTCAAGAACGCAGATCGTTTGTCTGACTGAGTGATGCCGATACAGGAGGCTCCTGTTTCCAGCAGCCCACCGCGTTCCCACGCGCATTCCAGGAGGGTCTGTGCTCTCTCTCGTTATCTCAGAAATGGCTTTGGGTGGAGCTGGGCTCACTGGCCAAGACACTGGACTGGGGTGGCTGCTCCCGGGGGTGGGTGAGGGACCAGCAGCTTGAGTCCTGATGGAATATTCTCGGGCAGTTCAGATGAGGCCTAGTATGAAGGCTGCCAGTGGGAGGGAGGGGAAGCTCTCCCCTCCCCAGGCCCTTGTTCCCCTGAACTGTGGATGTTAAGTACGGAGGAGTCTGTTGAAAGCGTTTTGTTCTAGTGCTGACACTAAGGACACTGGAGTCAAGCCTGGGCCTGAGTCCCTGCCCCGGTGATCAGCAGCCTGGACCTGTGACAGCCTCATAAACTCTCCAGGCCTGTTTCCTTGGTGGTAAAACGGGGCCCGAAGTCCCCACCTCCCGGTGTGATTGAGAGGATTAGGGAGGTAAGATCCCGTGAGGACTCCAGAAATACAGCCTACAGTGATGACCAAAGGGTCACGCCCCACAGTTCACCTCTGAGGCTCCAGCGGTCATTCATTCAATGTCGATTCATGCACCTGACATGTGGCAGACACTCTCCTTGGTGCTGGGGATTCAGCAGGAACCAGAGGCGTGGACCCCACAGGGTGACAACAGGGACGATGGTGCAGAGTTGTGTGTGGGCTTCAGAGTGTGATGGGCTGCGTCCACCCGCTGTGCCATCTTGGGTCTGCCACCCGACCACGAGCCACAGCTCTGTTCCCTCATTCCCACAGAGGTCACCTCTCAAGGCTGGTGTGGGATTTAAATGGGACAGTCTAGGGGAACGTTCAGAACAGCACCTGGCAATGAGCTCCTGTTGCACGTTAGCCGTCACCATCATCACCGCTGTCGCCTCACAACGCAGTTTATGTGAGAAGCGTGTGTCTACAACACAACTCCGAGCAGCCGGCTTGATGGAGGGGCCACCCTGTAAGTGAGTCACTGCCAGGGCGTGGACACTTGGCTCCTTCACCCAGCCTTTCGAGAGTGCCCACAGACAGCGGGGGTCCCCGTCCAAGCCACCACCTCAAAGCCACGTGCTGTTATTGCCGTGACTGAAGGAAGCTGAGGGCCAAGGCCAGGCCTGGGCACATCCCCTGAGGATGCCGTGAAAGGCTAGGGTTTGGGGTTTCCCAGCATTTACCCAGATCACCTCATTTAAATCCCACAACAGCCTTAGGAAGCTGACTCTGTGGCTGCTGCCAGATGGTTCCTGGAATTCTGCTGGCTGGCAGGGCACTTTTTAGGAAGAGAAGTGAAACACCTACTTGTTAATTGCCTGTGAGTCTCACCTTGTCAGTCAGGCTGCTGTTGCAGGCCGGGTGGGCCAGCAGCAGCCGCACCATGTCCGCGTTGCCATGGTGACAGGCCAGCATGAGGGCCGACGATCCGTTGTGGTCCTGCAGGTTGACGTCTGCCCCGCAGCTCAGGAGCGCTTGGACCATGTCCCCCCGGTCGTGGCAGACTCCCAGCATCAGCGCGGTCTGGCCCCCCTGCACACAGAGCACAGGGGTGTGGTGAGGCGGGGGCTGACCGGGAGGGACCCCCTCCAGCCTGGGTGTGATCTGGGAAGACCTCTCCAGAGAATGACCCTGGACATGAATCTCCTTCTGCCCTTGCATGGGACACATTCTCCTCCGCCTGGCAAACTTCTCCTCCTCTTCCCAGACACTAGTCCAGCGCTGCACCTTCTCTAAAGCCCGCCTCTTAACGCCCCAGTCTCGGTGCTCACAGCACAGCACTCAGCTCTTAGTACTGCACCCTGTCAACCTCGCTCCTTCCCAGGGACCCAGTCCTCTTTATGTCTGTCACCCCAGTGCCTAGCACCAAGTACGTGCTGACAAATGTCGAACAAGGGGATAAACGAAGGGTCGAATGCTTCAGTACCACGACTTCCTACTCCTGCCCCAGCCCAACTTCCTCCGGAAAGCCTTGGTCTGCTCTGAATGCCTCTGGTATTTTCTGTTTAATGAGACCCAGAACCCTCTTGTCTCAACACGGTCTCTGTTCGCATGGTCCTGTGGTCATTTCTAATCCACAGCCACTGACAATAATTTTTACGTCCCTGTAACCATCAGTGGACGTGGCAATGGATTAGCACCAGAAGGTGCGTGAGGACAAGCTCTGGTTCTGCTGTCTCCTAGTGCAGGACACGGGCCACGGCACCTGTCTTCCCTGAACCTTGGTCTTTCTTATCTTAAAAATTAACATAATGATGGTCTGTCCAGTACACCTCACAAGGCTCTTTGGGAATCAAATGGGATAAAGGCGGGAATGCACTAACGTACGGTAGTACTTTTTCTGATTGCAAGTGACCATCATTCCTCACAGACTTTCCTGTAGATACACAGTCCTCTCACAGGACTGATTATACTTTGCCCTTGTGGTTGTCCTGGGTTCCAGGCAGGTCAGGCTTGCCTCTCTGACTGGACATCAGGCTTGGTAAGGTGGCGAGAACGAGGCAAGGACCACACTTCCTCTCCTTTCAGACCCCCCATGGCTCTGAGCACAGCGTCTCGCACGTGAAATGTGCACAGGACGTGTGTGCTGATGTGTTCACTGATTACGCTCCAGTCTGCAGCCTCCGATGGATTCTGCTTTCCCGCCCAGGATGCTGGGCAATCACAGAAATCCTGGCTCTGCCACTTCTGACCTGTGAATCTGGACAAGTTAAACTCTCGAAGACTTTTCCTGATCTGGTAAAATGGGAATGCTTAACAAGGTGGGCCCCTCACGGGGTTGTCGTGAGACCCGCGGGCTCAACAAACGCTCTGTACTTAGGAGCTACTGCTGTCATTCTGAGCGTTGGGGACAACGTATGGCAAACGCTCAGGATGTGGGACTGTCTTACCAGGTGCCCTGGAACCCAGACAGATCTTTCCAGAGAAGGCTGTTTGCTTCTGGTTTGTTCATACTCAGCCTGAGGTGACGGTTGGTTTACTGGACCAACCAGACCCCGAGGGTGCCATCCAGACCCCTCCTTCCGAGTTAAAGCCAGACAGCATATGCAGACCGTCTCCACGTCTGCCCAGCTGCCTGACCGGGGATCCTTCCTTCCTCCGCTCCCTCCTGGTCCAGTTCAACACAGTTTAATTCAACAGCAATTTACAGAGCACGGCTATGTCAGGCGCTGCGCTGACCCTGGAGATATGAGGGGAGATAAGCAGCTTAGCCAGGAGACTCCCAGCCTCCCAGCTCACTCCCATTTGACCTGGTACCTGCCCCTCGCCTCAGAGGTAAGGCTCTAGGCGGAGCTGATGGGAGGAGCCGAAGCTGTGAATTCCCGCCCCTCCTCTGGCCACCTGGAAGGAGCATCAGTTTCTCCTCTATAAAACAAGGGGGTTGATTTTGGTCACTGGAGAGCATCCTCTTGCACGAGGGCCAATTTAGAAAATAAAATTAATGTGTTTGGGAAACACATTATTTAAAATGAAAACAGCTTTACTGAGTCCTATGGGGTAGGAGTTGCAGGTGGGTGAAAATACTGTGAAAACCAGAATGTGACCTGCGGACATCTGTTTCTTACCATCAGTAGGATTGCTACTAGATGAAGGGTGCAAAGTGACTTTGCCATCAGGTCAGGCTACTGTCTGCAATAACTTTGGGGGAGGGGTGGGGAAGAGTGGAGTTAAAATATTGTTGGGAGACAATTTTCCACGGGTCTCTAGACTTTCTATCTGCCCTTTTGTCCTAGACTATCATTTTAAGCGTGTTTGTTCAGTCAATGGCCTTGGAAGGTAGACATGCTGTCTTCTCCAGGGCAGAGGGCAGGCATGCCTACTGTCTGGTATAGAAGATTCAGGTTCCTAAGCTCAGGGTTCCTCTCCAGCAGCACAACCCACTCTGTGCACAGGGATCTGGCCCTCCCCACATCGTCCTGTGGGAATTGGGAATTGGGGCTCAGGGAAGTGGTGTAAATGTTGATGTCGTGGCTACTGCTCCTACTCTGAGTAACACACAGTCCCCTGTCTCTGGCACAGGAGTCTCGTGTCTTCTGCCAGTATCCATGACGTACCAGGCTAACCTGTAGCTTTAAGGTAGAGTGAGAGCTAAGATCCTTCTCAGTTTTAGGTAGTTAGGCTACACCTGTGAACACTCTAGGGGGAAACGGAGAGTTGAATGCACTCTACCTGTTCTTGTATTGGTCAAAGATGGGTAAGCGGCCTTTTGAGGAGTTCCCGTTGTTCTATACGGAGCCTTGTCTTACTCAAAGCCGTGCTGAGTAAAGACGTACCCTACTCTGTGTTCTCAAGGAGAGGGCCCCAGAGGCAGAACAGAGACTCCCAATCTCTGAACGCACTGTACGTCATGATCACGGTGGATCACCTGCAGTGGCTTCCTGGAGCAGCCGGCTAGCTCATGCCTTCTCAAGGTGCTACCTGTGGGAACACTTGGTTTGAGAGGTCGAGTCCAGCTGGAGTTTGCCCACTTGCACACTGGATTACAAGCTCACTGACCTCTGTCCTGGTCTGTCTCTGGATCTCGGGAGCCTCTGAGGAAACCAAATGGTCAGGCTTTGGACAGATGTCATTTGGAGAGCCCAGACATCTTGGGCTAAAAACCCTAAATGGATCTGCATGGAATTTCTCACCCCACAGGCAGAATAAAACTGGCAAGTGTCCACAGTTATGAAAGAGGAGATCGTGTTCACATCTCCTACCTGAGTAGCTTGGATGTTCACGTTTCCTCCCCTTAAGAGCTTCCAGACGACAGCCATGTCTTCATCCGTCTCTGCGGACGCCAAGGGAGTGATCATCACGGCGGTATAGCCAGCCTTATTCTGAGTGTCCACATTGCAGACACCTGCAAGAGAAGCAACGCGCACTGGAACAGCTCCCAAGGGGCCAGAGGGGCAGTCTGCTTTAGCCTGTTCAACAGGATGCTGCCTGCTGGTTGGTTAAAAGGCCACGGAATAGAGCAATCCCTTCCTAGGGGTGGAATCAATGTTTTGACATTTTTAGTAGCCTTTCAAAGTGGCCACTTTTCTTTACAAGCTTTCTGAGGCTACCTAGCAGGAAAGGTCCACAGCAGAGTCAGAGATGGCCGAGGGGGCCAACGCCACGGCTTTCTCTCCTAAAGCAGAGCACAAGACAGTGCGCCCATTTTACAGATGCGGACACTGAAGGTCAGGGAAGCTGCATGAGCTGCCCGAGCGAAGGTGAGATGAGGCCCTAGACGCACCACTCTCCTGGCCACATTGCCCAGAGCTGCGACTTCAGATCTCACCCTCTCTGTGTCTGGCTGTACCTCCTAAGCAGATGGCTGTGTTTGCAGGTCCTTCCGAAGGCCTAGGGATATGTTGTGCAATGTACCGGGGGGCATGAAAAACGCCACAGGGTAAACCTGGGGAATATCCCAGGAATAACCATCTCATTTGAAAAACAGAGGGGAAAAAAATTCCATCAACTTTTATTTTAAAGCCATTAAGAATATACATCTCACAACAGAAGGAAAAACTGGCATATTTTTAAGATGAAGTGCTAAAAGAGAACTCAAGGAAATTTCTGCTTTGTAACCCTGGCAATGTGCATTCCCAGCCTCCCCACCAAAGGAGGCGCAGGAGGTTAGCAGCCCATTATCTGCTGCAGAAACATGCCGCTCTCAGGGGTGGTACGTGTGGAAAAGCAAATCTTCCCTGTACTACTACTTATCCGAAGAGCCTGTTTGGGCAACAGTGAAACACCTCAGTAGATGAAGTCGCTTGGCCTTTCTTAGCATTTCCTCTGTGAAATGGGGATAACAGAAATTTAATGAGTTTATATCTCAAAAGCACTTAGAACAGCGCCTAACACAAAGCAAACACTCAGAAAGTGTCAACTGTTGTTCCTGTTACTGTCCACAACGGTATTCTTGTCTTTCTATCCTTGCTACTTGCTCCTGAAGACTTAGGTATTCATTGCAACAAATCTGGTTTATGAAAAAATGTCCGTCAGGGCTACTTCCAAGTTCCGTGCAAGGGAAAAACCAACTCTGGTTGACATTCCCTCCAGCTCACTCCAGCGATTCTTCAGCAACGTGCCACAGTGATACCCGGACGCCAGTGGATACAGAGAAACCCGCTCGGCTCGTTGATCAGCACTTTCCTCTCTGAGGCCCCCTGACCACTGTCACGACCAGCTGGGCCAGGAAGGCAGAATCACACTGCAAGCACGGCCTCACAGCTCCATCCTGGTAAAGACGGGAAGGGCCACACTGCCTGTTAAAGACTTTTCTGTTTTTACCCCGTGACGGTTTTGCTTGCTTTTGAGAGGTGTGAACATGACTTGTAGGTCAGCAGAGCGAGGCCCAGCCCCTCCCCAGCGGCTCGGAAAAGGGGCTGAGGACCCAGGGCTCTCACAGCAGAAGCTCCTGGGCAGCCACCAGGGAGCCTGGGGGGAGGGGAAAGCTCTCGCTGAGCACACTCCGACTCAGCCAGCTTCCTCCTCCGTGGTGGCCACCTGGCGAAACGAAGGACGGCTCACAAAGGACTGAGCTCTGCGCTCCACCGTGACAGGCCACTTCTGTGCAGCCCTTTACAGTTTGTAATGCACTTTCCTGATGCTTCACGACTGCGTGGGAAGGGAGCCCAGGTCCGGGACTGTGACCCTCCGTCCCCCTCCTCAGCCCTCTACAGGGAGCGGAAGGGATGGCACTCTCAGCATGTTCTTGCTACCCCCTTTCAGACCTTATGCTCTGTGGCTCTTCAGCTATTTCGGTATGTTAAAGGGAAAAGCTTCCAAGCAACTTTAGGGTTGATGAGTACAGAATGGATTCTCAGTCAACATCGGCGAAAATTTATAACAGCCGAATCTTAAGTAGTCCATTCTCTGGCCCGGCCTGGCCCACCCGGAAAACTGCTAACAGGCTGCACGTCTGTAGCTACTTAAGACGACAGCTCCACGTGACCCATCTCTGGATTCTTGGTGCACACACGAGGTGCTCCTGAGGTCTCACACTGTCCCTGAAACCTAGTTTGCCGTAGTAGAAAAAGCCCAGGTTGGGAGGGTGAGAGATCACGGTTGGAATTCTGGCTTAGCTCCTGACTGGCTCTGTGACTCCAACCACATTACCTGACCTCTCTGAGCCTCAGTTTTCTCACTTGGAAAATGCAGTTCATATCTGCTTGACAATCCCTGCAAGGACCGTACATGGTCGTGCACGTGTGTGTCACACCTGGCACTGTGACTGGTGGGGAAAGGCACTCAGAGAGCAGTAGATGTTGCTACTCATGTGATGTAATGAAAGCCTCTGACAGTGAACACGGTAAACAGAACACGAGGTGTGTTCCACTCAGGTATGTGCCTTCCTCAGTGGAGCTACCACTCTTACGGTACCCGTGAATCCATGAAGAGCTGAAACCCAATAAAATTGCCTCAAGGTTAGAACCATATCTTCGTCTTCGCTTGATGGTGTGAGAAGCAGAAAGGCCTGGGGGCTGTGGTCGCGTCCATCACCTACCCTCTCAGGGGAAGAGCCACAAGGCTGCTGGATGCAACTTTGGAGAACTGGAAATTTACTGGGACTTCACCTAGCTCCCAGGAGTCATCTAACAGGTATATTCTCTCAACACCTACTATGAGCCAGGAACTGGTGCGGGTGCTGGGGACACTGAAAGGGACAAGACGAGAGGAGTCCCCGTGACTGAGCTGAGTTCTTTGGGTAGAAGTGAGGAGCACTGATCATCGAAACAAAAAAGCAAGGTGTTTCCCTAGAGGGAGGAGACATGGCGGCCACTTTAGATGGACTCATCAGGAAGCCCACTGAGGTGCATCTGAGCTGTCACTCAAATGATAAGGAGCCATCATGAGAAGAGTTTCAGGGAAAAGGGCCAGACAGAAAGAAAATGCAAAGGTCCCAAGAAGGGAACGTGCTTGGTGAGTGTGAGGCCACGTGGCTGGAGTGGAGGGGAGGAGGTGCCTGCTGGCAGAGACAGCAAAGGCAGGTGGCAGCCAGCCATCTGGGACTCCAGGCTGAGGAGGCTGCTTCCATTCTAAGAGCAACGGGAAGCTATGGGAGAGACGTAAGCCGGGTAGACGAGATCCAAGTTGGGAGAAAGCTGTTGGATCCAGAATTCAGACTTCCTGATGCCCATTTAAACTCCCCGTCCAGCCTCCTAATAAGGCCTACAGATCTAGCACGGGCTCCACTTCCTGGACGCCAGGAACGCAACGGTGTCAACCTCAACCCCAGCAGCACGCTTAGTCATGATGGGATCTCTGGCAAGTCTGCTGACTTTCCTGAGCTTTTATCATCCACAGAACAGGGATGATCATCCCTATTAATGGGATTGTCACAAGGATTAAATGAGATCTCATATGCCAGGTGCTTACCAGAGGGCCTAATTTGTGGAGAGCATCTGGTAGTAGCCTCCTGGTATCCCTCACACAGCATCCCTAACTCAAGATGACGTCCGACAGGGACCCGCACATCTTCAGCCAGCCCCATCACCCACCTGTCCACACCGTCACTCCCAGGTGGCTTGATGTCACCCACTCTGCTGAAAGTCCACTCTAAGCCCTGCGGTCTAGTCTCAGCGGACCATGGGGCCGCTCAGCAAACCACGCAGAGTTCTTGGCTTGACTACTAACCACCCCTTTCCAGACTCCACAACCCAGATCCTGCTTCCACTTTCCTGAGAAGATCGAGGCCATCTGAAGCAAGGGGACTTCACTTCCCTTCTCCCCTCCCCAACATCTCTCTGGACCTTTACCACCTTATTTTCCTTTTGCTTCCCTCTCAGAGGGACAGCTATCCAGCTGCTTGCCTAGGCTGACTTCATCCGCCTCTGCTGTGGATTCCAGGTTTTCCCAGCTCCTCCAAGACCTGGCTCCATCAAGCTTCTCTCTCCTTTGTATCTTTAATCTCTCTCTCTGTTGGTCTCTGTCTCTCTCTCTGTCCCCCAACCCCTCCTCGGATTCTTCTTCTCAGACAACAAACGTGCTCAGGTTTCTTCTATCCACAAACACACGCTAACTCTCTGCAGCCTCTCCTGCCTCCTTCAGCTGCAGCATACATCACTGCCTTCCCAACCCACGCACTTCACTCCTCTCACCTCTGCAACCTGGTTTCCTCCCAACATCCCCATGAAAGAGCTGTTTCCAAAGTCACCAGTGACCCCTTCCCAAATCTGCCACGGCCAGGCATCATCCCTCAGGGACACTGCAGTATTCGACCCAGTGGACGACACTCTCTCTTCAGGACGCCTTCTTCATCATTGGCCCCTGTCGGCCACTATCCTGTTATTTCTCCTGCTTCTCACACAGCTCCGTCTGGGTCTCCTCCACTGGCCTCTATCATTCTCTCTCTAAATGCAGGCCTCCCACAGGGCTTCTCTCGGCAGCCTCTTTCCTTCTCCATCTGCATTCCTTTCCTAAAGGACTCCATTGGCTGTGCTCTAGCTGGACTCACCCAAAACTCTATTGCCCATTAATTGTGGATCTGGAATTCTCAATCGTCTTCTGGACATTTCCACCTGGATACCCCACTGGAAACTCAAAATCTGCGTCAAACTGAATTATCCTTTCTGCTTTCCCCACACGTGTCCTCTCCTTTTGCACCGCCTTCTCAGCCATCCAAGCCTGCCACATCAGAGAGCTCCCGCTCCCCTCACCCCTCAGCCAGTCCGTCACTAACCCCCAGTGGCCTTTTGCTCCTCTATTCCTACTACCCTCCCCTGTTGTGAGCCCTCACTACCTCTCTGTGGACACTGCAATGGCCTCCTGTCTGGCCCGCCCCCTCTTGCCCCTGCTGCCTCCACTAATTTACCCTGACCGGCAAATTCACTCTGTAGGGAACTCGCCTGGTTACGGCGCTCGCCGCTCATCACCCTAGACTGACTCCTGGTGCTGTCAAACGGGCTCCCGCTATCCAGCCCAGCACTCAAGGCCCACGCTGCGTCCACCCCACCTCCCCAATCTGAATTCACACCCAGTCCAGCTGGAAGCCTTCTGGTCTCCGGTTTTCCCCTTTCTTACCTCTCCGGGATCTCCTTCCTGGGACATTTCTCTCTGCTGGAACCTACCGGCTTCAGTCCACCTTCCCTGTTCCCAGAACGGGACCTCATCTCGCTGCTTCTGAGCCCTGGAATCACGTTCTGTACCTCTCTCTTGGGAGCCGTCCCCCTGTTCCACCTGATCATCAGGCTGTAAGCTCCTGAGAAGCAGAGAGCTCCCACCTGGCTCACCTTGCCTCCCTGATGGTGGCCAGTAGGGACCGCATGTGTAGTCCACAACTATCTGATGAAGGATGAATGAACTGATCAAGTCAAATTGATCAGATGGAGCCGTTGGCCTTGTTAAAAAGTACTTATGAAGATGATAAAATGTGGCCTCTCCTAGGGGCAGTTGGTCTAGCTCTGGAGCTGGACAGACTGTATATAAAGTCCAACTCTACCATGTACCAGCCTTGTGACCTGAGCAAGTTTATAACTCTCTGAGCCTCAGTTTCCTCCTCTGCAACATGAGAATATTAGTAACCACATCACGAGACTGTTGTGAAGAATAAAAGATACCATAAAGGCAAAATGGTCTCGCCCAGCTCACAGGATACAGGAGGAACTCAGAACAGCGAGGAAGCTCCTTGCTGGAAAGAAGTGGGTACAAGAACTGCCTTCCCGGAGGGACCCAGGCTGCACAGATGCAGCCGTCTCTGACCTGTCTCCAGCAGCAGCTTCACGATGGAGAAGTTGGAGTGGGATACGCTGTAGTGAAGGGCTGTGTTCCCGTTGCCATCAGCCAGGTTGACAAGCAGCTTGAGGATGCACTGGGAGTGAGGCTGGACTCCCCGAAGGTAGGCGGCCACCACAGCAGGGCTAGACGACTTCCGGCTGGAGACGCGGAACCACTCTTGACTGATGGTGTTCAAGCTCTGCCTCTGAAACACGAAAAGATTCCAAGTCCAGCAGGTCACCCGGCCTGGGCGCTCCAGCTGGGGCGTTAGTTTCCACTGGGAAAAGCTAGCTTTGGGTGCTTTCACCTCTGTTCCTCCAACTTCCCATGCAACTTACTCCTGGAGGGCTCAGAGCTGGTGGGGTTGGGGAGGCAGCGACACACTGTGAACCTGTGCAACTGGCCCCCACTGAGGCAGAAAGGAGCACTGGGGGAGCAGCACAACTACCAGGAACGAAGCACTTCACTGGGTGGTGACTGTGTCCACCGCAGGCTTGGATCACATCCCTGCACGCACAGGACGACCAAGACCCTGTCTTTCACACGCACACAGCCAGCCTGTACTGAGTTCGCCCCAGGCTCTACCAGGATTTCTGTGTGTTTTGAATAGGCATAGCTGGAAAGCCACAACATTTTACTAATGGGAAAAATGCATGCTGAAAGCTAAGAAAAACAGCACGCTCAACTTATGCTTGAAATAAAACCCAAACAGCTGTGCTTGAATTATTTTTGGCTTTTAAGCTTTGCTGTGACCTTCAGAGAAGATGGTTTAAGAACCCATGGCAGGACCCCAGTGTCTGCAGTATTCAGCTCCTTCGGAACCATGAATGAGGAGAGTTCCAGAGTGTACGACATCCCCTCTGTGTGTGACACGACCTAAGCGTTTAACATGGAACAAGTTTAGATCATTTATCTAAAGAGAAGGAGGAACTACGGGGATGGGATTACCAGAAATGATGTCACACTCATCGTGAAAAAGGCCCTGGGTTGGGAGTCACTGAACCACCGTGGCCAGGGTTTTGTCCTGGCTCAGCTGTGTGACCTTGGAAGCCATATAACCTTTTCGAACCTTACTTGTCTCATCTACAAAGTGGAGGTGAAGAAGGGGCAGGCTGCCTAACTTCCCTTGGCTCTGGAGTGAGGTCCTTGTACACCTGCTCTGTCTCTAAGCGGGGCTGTGACCCTGGCTTGGTGTGGTGTCAGATCTGCGCCTCTGATCACTCATCTAGGCAGAAACAGTGGAATCCTCTGTGGCTGAAACACTTTTTATACATCAGAATATCTCCTTGATCCAGGGAATCTAGAGAAAGACTCTAATGTTAAGAAACAGTGATGGATTTTAAATGAAGAGCTAGGAATTAAGTTATTCTGCAATTCACTTAAGAACAAGTAACAGGAGTTTTGATCAACATCCACGTTGCATATCGGCTCTTTATCAATCTGGGAACAGTTATTTGCCAAATCAGCTAAGGTAAAATAACAAAAATGGGTTGGGCTGAATCCATTATTTTTACTCCTAAGGCTCTTCTGCAAAGAAGAACAAAATGGGCTTTAAAAATGCTTACAAGTTGTTACGTGCTGGGTTTTAGCAGCTGCTCTCCTAACTTGGGAAAATGTGTCTGTGCCAGTATCTCTTGATTACAAGTAGAACCCACTCATTCTGTGTTTAATCTCCGTGGGCAGGAAGTTGTTAAGGAGCAAACAGGTGTATTTTCTTGTTTGTGGTCTCTTGACCCACAGGTAGACTTCAAGAAAACCAGTGAGGACTACAGAATTAAATGCCAGGGCTTTGGGGTAATGGAGACATGCTGGTCACCACCCTCATTTTATGAATGAGGAAACTGAGCCAAAGTTGAGCCACTTTGCCCAGCATCTCGCAGGTGGTGATCCAGGGAACAGAGCCCGCGGCTCCCCTTCCAGATGCTCTTTTCCGCTCTACCCATAGCTCTCTCAGATCTCGAGGCAATTTTGAGCTAAGCCACAAATAGCTTTAAGACAGGGTGCAATGCCTAACGCCAGTCAGTAAAGACCCCAGCACAGGCCTGCCCTCGTGCAGTCATTTCCCTCCCACCTTCTCAGCACGGTCCTCCACCTGAGGCAGGAGACCCTGCACGAATGAGAGAGCGCCCAGCGGAAAGGGACTCCTGCGTGCACAGCCACATGTGGACCCGGTGGCAAGGGACCAGAGCCGCCCAGTGGGAACTAACAGCTCAAACAGAACAGAAATCTCTACACGAGAACGAAAGTCAGGGTACCAAGAGGTGGTCGGTGGTGGTCCCAGTTTCTGGCAGATGTTGGCTCAATGCCCGGCACGCGTTGAGGAATTCTTCAGAGGGTTCATATCTGAAGAAAAACAAATATATGTCTATATCAGTCTCCAAGCTGATGAAAAAGAAGGTTAACCCTACGTCGACTTTCACTTCTCAGCAGCAAAAACACCCAAACTGGGCAACTTCCCGGGCAAGGGGCATTCCTCAGAAATACGGGTGGAGACAGCCTCCTAGCCACGAGGCTTCCAAACTCACCTCAAGTGTGAGTCAAGCCCATTGCCCTTTTCACCCTGCTGTTTTCAGGGGGCAGGAGCAGATCACCAAGTGTGGCCCACCGAAGTGAGGGCCACGGGCCCAAAGGCAATTCCTGACACCGGGAAAGGTCTTTCTGACTTTGGATCAAACATTTTCTGCTTGAGCAACTTGAAAAATCCAAAGAACCCAATGCATACCAGCAAATTTCTTCAGGTTATTCTTCCATGAAGGACACCACAGTGCTAACAGAGTCAATACAACGAAAATCGATGACGCCGGGCGCACTCGATGGCGAACGCCCTTCCCGTGTTAGTGTAAGGGCAGACGCAGCAGTGGAGGCCAGGGCGGGACTTGACAGCACTGGTCACAGGGAGCTCTGCTCTCATCTCATCTTTACGGGGCTGCCACCTGGAGCAGCCCTGCCCCTCTGCTGGACCATCAGCCACACTCACTGCTCGTCACCTCTTTGGCAACCAGGCTGGGGATGGTGACAGCGATGACAATGGGACTTATTATTCCGACTTCTACCACGCATTGGGAGCCCGCTGTGTGGCAGGCACGGTGCTGGGCATTTTCCTTACTTTTCTCATCCAGTCCTCAGAACACACCTAGCAGGCTGCCATCAGCCACATGCTACAGATGAGGACAGTGAGGCGACCACGGCTTAAGCACCTTGTCTCCAGTAACATGCGCAGCCAGAGGATTTAAACCCAAGAGGGTGGACGCTTTCATGGGGCACACGACCTCCCCCCTTCACAATAAAAGGCAGGGTGGTGTCAGCAAGGCCAACGGGACAGGCAGAGAGGAGGTGTGTGGGAAAGATCGGAAAAGCCGGGGTCGGGACCCCACTCTGCCAGCTGGGTCGCCTAACTTCTCCAGGCCTCTGTTTCCACATCTTTAAAGTGAGGATTGTCATATTTTCTACCCTGCAGGATTGTTCAAGGGGTCACATGAGATACTACACGTAAAGTGCTTCACGTTTGCAGAGTCAGGACGACGTTAGCTTTATATGTAGACACGACGGTCTGTGACAACACAGCCAGTGAAGGCAGGAGTCACATCTGTCCAGTCCAACCGGCGCTCAGTACCTGGCAGAGAACAGACACTCAAGAATATACTGCTGAGGGGACAAATGAATAATTGGACAAAAGAGTGAACAACCGCCCTTGTCCTTTCTTGAGGACTGAGCGCCCGGATGGGTGCCCTCTGACTCACCTCTCAGCCTTGGGGTGGGGGAGCTCTTCCCCAGGCCCGCTCTCCTGGCTTACGCGGCAGATGCCCTCGGAGACAGACTGCCCGGCCCTGCCGTCGGGGTGGGCATCCTTGCCCCGTCTGTGTTCCGCGCCCTCACACTTCTTCTCAGCCTCACTGTCTGACAGGTCCTCCGGGGAGCTGTCCTCACCGCTGGTCTCCTCGCTCGAGGTGGTCTCGTAGCTGGGGAAAGAGACAGTCACTCGTCTGTGCATCCTGCCCAATGCCCGCCCGCATGAACACATATGAGGACTAGGTGGAAAGCTGACACTTTCCAGCTTCCTAACCTCATCCTCCATTCTCTACACCCACAGGCCCAGGAGGGGACTCCCAAGAACCTGAGTGTCAGGGAAACAGGCGGTCAGGGCTTCGGGCTCGAATGCTGGAGGCCATTTGAGGAGAAAAGACAACTAAGCCATTTGCCAAGAACACACCAACAGCCCGTGCCCTGAGTGGCCTCTGTGTTTGGAGGATCCAGACAGGCAAGGTTCGCACAAAAGCATTCGCTCCTGCCATCCTAATGCCAGTCTCTGGGTAGGCAGCCCCTCCCTGCCCCAAGGTCTGAATTGCGGGCTCTGGGCCCTCTGCTGTCGCACAGCTTACACCCTCTGAGAAGGGAGGAACCACCTGCGTCCCCTCCTAGCAGAGCTCCGGGACGCCTGCACCCAGCCTCTGCCTGTCTCGGCTGCAGCCTGTTTAAACTACTGCATGCAACAGCAAAAGTGAGGGCACAGGCCTCCGACGTGTGGCTCTTCCTCCTTAGCAGTGATCCCTACGTTTACTCACACGCGACTCTGGTGAGGTGGCAGACCAGAGAGCCCTGGGAGATCTGTTGGTCCCCCTGCTTAAGGTCAACAGGAGACCCCAATGGGGGATGCCAGGGTTAAGAGGAAGACTTCAGGTTCTGAGGCCCTGGGCCCTGCCACAGAGACCAGGGGCCACGCTTCCACGCAGCCCCCAGCTCTCTCTCTGAATGTGGCCCTGGGGTTCAGTAGAATTGCAAACCCAGCCACTCTCTGCTATGCTCGGTTCTGTCCTGTTTAAACCCAGCTATTTCTTCCTCTCTTGTGCATGGAACAACTTTTTGCTTTTGTGATTAAGAGAGTGGGAGACATATTACGTTTAACCAGCAGTGCTTGTCTTAGAACTGCTCCCAAAAAACCTCACCTGGAAGTTCATTCATTCATTCAACAGAAATTTATTAAGCACCTACTCTGTGCCAGGTGCTGATCTAAATGCGGCACCGAAGTCCCTGTCCTGAGCTTCTACTCGAGCAAGGAAAGGCAGAAAATCAACCTGTAAACAGCACTCAGATGGTGATCAGAACAGCAAATGACACAGCAAAGGGCCTGGGGTAGAGTGATGGGGGAGGGGCTGCTTGAGTCAGGGCAGCAGTCTTCAACAGGAGAATCACTCGGGGGAGTTTAAAATCCCCAACACGTCTCCCGCATCCCAGACTAACTGAATCAGAGTCTCCAGGAGGACCTGGGCATCAGTATTCTTTAAGGTTCGCCCAGGGTTTCCAAGGTTGAGCCACTGCACCAGAGTGACAAATACCTAGGACTGCCCGGGGGAGGAGCTCTTCACACGGGGCAGTAGATGCAAAGGGCCTGCGACGGGCCTGACAAACCTTAGAGGGAAGAAAGGCAGAAGCTGGCGGGAGGGGCCGAGGCAGGCTACGGCCGGGAGATGGACTTCCAGGTTTGGGTACAAAAACTGTGGGGCCGTTTAAGCAGGGAGAGCTAGTGCCTGCTTCAGACTCTGAGAGCAGGCTGATTCCCTTTTCTGCACAGGAACTGCGGACAGCTCAAGACAAAGGTTCCTCCCCGCCCCAAGATCTGACTTTAGGGGGCGTGGGAACAGCAACCCTCCTGACATCCCGTTCCATCGCTTCTGACATTTCCCTCACAGAACCTACAACTGTGACGTCACCCTTGTTCGAATCTGGTGTCTTCCTTCTGGTCCGACCCAAATTAGCAGGGTTCCGGCCTCTCTACACAGCCTCCCAGGCCCTCCACTGGCTGGGGCCCCACTGTGGGCTTCCTCCCCGACTGGAATTCCCCTCAGCGTCTCAGCACTGTCTCCACTTCTTGTCTTATCTCTGCCCACATTCCAACTGTGGGCTAAAGGCAGGGACCATGATTTATTTGGCTTTTTTATACCCACCACCTAACACATGTAGGCATTTAATAAATGTTTGTTGAATGACTGATATAGGAAATATTCGAAATCCAATGATCTACTCTCTAGAATATATAAGGTGTGGTTCACGCTCTGAGTCAATAGACATAGGCTGTTTTTCTTCATCCTAAAAAAACATTGGTTTGGTTTGCAATAAGTTAGTAAAAGGAGAAAAAATTAAATGGATGAAGTTTGAAGTTTAACAAATCAAGAGTTTGTCCCAGTTTCAGTGTTGTGGTTCAGATAAAATGTCTTCCCTAAACAGCCATGTGCCCCCCCAAACTCCCAGAAGCCACTGGCCTCCCGGCCCCGGGGGCACACCACAGCCGAGACATATTCAAAGCACAGGACCCGACAGACCACCACCACTGGCAAGGCACAAACACATGCAAACCCGAGATGGAGTTTAAAGGGCCGTTAAGATTGATTCCCTCGAAGAAGAATGAAAACCAGATGCTTCCCCCTAGGAAAAGAGAGAGCGAGGACAGCGCGGGAGAGCGAGTGTGGAGGGGGCAGACTGGGCTCCGCCAGCGAGCGATGCTTACCCACCGTTAACCCCAACAAACTGAAGGTTCTTTTTGGTCCCATTACCTCCTGCACGGAAGCCATAGTCTTTCTTTTTCATTATGGATTTAAGGCTGGTCGACGGGGAGATCTCTAGGCAGACACAACATCACAGGTTAGAAGGATCTTGGGGATGCCCCAGAACGCAGCAAAACCAGACTCTCGCTTTGAGAGGACTCAGACTGAAGGTGTGTGAGGAGGTAGAAGGGGACAAGAAACTTGATGATGTCAATCAAATATCTGGAGGGTCCCAAGGAGGCCAGCCTTCTGGTCAACGCCAGCCGAGCTGTCCCTGATCACACACACCCTCCCTGTGTGGCTCACAGATTGGAGCCCTCTGTAGGAGGGCCAGGGGTTGTGGGTGCCTTTGTTGTCCCCATCTCACAGCTGGGACATCGGAGGCTCAGACTTGCTCAGGGAAGGGCAGAGCCGGAGCCAAACTCGGCTCACAGACTCCTACTCCTGCCTCTGCTCCAGGCACCTATGCCGTCCTCCCTGGGTCACGTGCCAGGCGACACCTGTGATGTGGGGTAGGCAGGGCACACACACGAGCAAGGGCACACGTCTTCTGCTGCTGGACTCAAAGGGACAGAGGGCAAGACTAGAACCAGCACCAGGTACTGAGGCAGCAGCCGGTTTGTGATCTGTGGCAGGAAGCCGACTTGCATGCTGCTGGTTGAGCAGAGCCAAGTATGGTTCCACTTTACTCGTCAGAGAAGAGTACGTGATCGCTGACGAGCGGAAGTCCCGCTCAGCCACACACTCGACCGCCACACGTGTGTATCACTCAGTCTCTCTCCTGCACCCACACACCCCCCCCCTCCACACACACACGCACACAAAATACTCAGCGAAATGTTTTCAGATCTCGGTATCAGGTTCCTCCAAAATCAGGCCAGAGAAAACCCCTGGTGTGCAAGAACCAGTGAGGACCACAGGAATGTAAGAGCCCAGGGAACGAGGAAGGGGCCGAGGTGGGCGGCACCCACAGCCAGGCCCTTCATCCCATATGTCGCCTTTGCGCAGTGCAGCTGGGACAGAGGCACCCCTCTCGGTGGGTGCTGTGCTGCAGGCTGGGCGAGTGACGTGTGGGCTGGATTTCAGCTCCCGTTGCCCCTCCCTGGCTGGTGTCTTCGTGCCCTGCGCTATGTGAACAGCTGTACCTGGTGGTCCTGTAGTCAGTCCCAACTTTAGAGCAAGGACGAGAGGACAGAATGGAGCCCCCACTGTTACATGGATCAGTCTTTATCCCACAGGGTTCCTGGAGGGGTTTAAAGCTTTTAAAAAACATACGCATGCAATTAAAACCCTTTTTCCCTTTGACTCATCATAAAAAGGAGAAATGGCTCCCTGTCTCAGCCACCAGTATTTACCCATTGGTGGAGAGGTGGAGGGGGCCGGGGGCTCCTTCTGGGGCGGAGCCTGGGCCGAGTAGGCGGACAGCAGCAGGTTGAGGGAGCTCAGCAGCTGGCTCTGGATGCTGCTGAGCTTGGAGGCAGGCTGCTTGATGGCGCTGGCCAGCTCCGGGTACCCGTGCTCCAGGCAGCTCCACTGCTCCTGCAGGAGCTCCTGGATCTTCTTCACGTACTGCCCAAGAGTGGCATCTGTGGGTGAGCTGGGTGGCCCTCCTGGGCGGTCCTTCCCTGGGGGCTCTGAGCTGGTCTCCTCCCCCCTTGCTGGAGGCGCCTTTCTGTCGCTGCTCCATGAAGTGCCTTCTGCTTCCCTGCCCAGACCCTCGGCTCCCCGCTGAGGGTCTCCCTCCTGCTCAGAGCCTGCTTCTTCGATCCTGAGCTCTGTGGAGAGGCAGCTACGCAAAGAGGGGGTGAGGACCCTCTCGGGTCCCTGTGGCAGTGACAGCTGGGGTGGTGGCACAAATTCCGCTAGGCTCTGATCCCTCTGTTGGTGATTGTCCTGTCCCCACAGAGGGCCATTCTCCTCTCCTCTGACCCCCCAGCTTTCGGATCCCGTGCTACCCAGAAGATTGACCCCAGTGCTCTTGTCACATGACTCCCTGATGAGGAGTGCGCAGAGAGGGTCAGTGCTGACTGTGGCGTCAGTCTGGCTCTGAGTGTCCTTGGTGTCCTTGTGGCTAAGCTTCTCTGCCAGCTGAGCCACAGTGCACTCCAGCTCCCGGATCCTGTGCCCCCTGGCCTCGACTTCCTCCTCCTGCTGCTGCAGAGCAGCTCTGACCCGGGCCAGCTCCTCAGCTCTTCCAGACAACTCGCCCTTAAGGTCCGAGAGCTGCTGCTTCAGGCTGGAGATGCTGCCCGGGGCCACGGTGGCAAGGCCCAGGCTCTCCTCCGTGACCCGGATGCCAACGCTCCGCACGTCCACCTCTACAGGTGGGGGTGGCGGGATCTCGCTGATGTTGAGCTCGATCTCGTCCAGGGGGAGCTCATTCTCAGGAATGGGTGATGGCAGAGGTGGGGGGCTTGGCGTTGGGGATTCAGGGCTGACCACCACCTCGGCTTCCCTGGTTTCGCGTTCACCTTGTGCATCCTCTAGGACTACAAGTGCATTCTGGGAAGAGAAAGGAGGACTTGGGAGACAGAGGTGATGCGCAGCCTCTTCTTCAACCTCTGGATGCTCCGCCCCCTCCCGGACCAGCTCCGGGATCCCTGGCACCAGGTCTCTAAACTCTCTGACTTTTGGGTGGGCTGCTGCTCGTGGGGTGGAGCTGTGAAAACCCGCAAATCCTTCCGCAGGGCCAAAGGTGCCATCGCAGACACTGCCTTCCCCCTGCAGTGGAGGGAGCGTCGGGGGTGTGGGGGAACCTGAGTTTAGGCTGGGGTCCTCGGAAGCCCTGTTCTGTGGCAGCGTGGCTGGCATGCTGCACGCTCTCAGAAGCTGGGGCCGTCTGGCCCCGGAGGCGAGCTCAGCCTCCACGGGAGCCGCAGCCCCCCACTGCCTGGCAGTCTCGGCCAGCAGGGTGTTCCTGTGGAGGCTCAGCTCACTCCCGCTGGTGGAGGCCCGGGGGTGGTCCCCGGGTGGCAGTGTCTGGGCTCGCTCCTCTGTCCCCAGCGACACCTTCCTGGGCACCACTGGGGACCAGTTTTGGTGGGGAGGTGCAGCGTGGGAGTGCGCCCCACTGTCAGGAAGGCTGAAGTTTCGGGGCAAGGTGCTAAACTTGGCCTGCTTGGCCCTCCTGTGGATGGGAATCCTCTTGATGGTGTTGCCCTTCTCGATGTCATCCACATACTTGAGGAAGTCCAGGTCTAGGTGAAAGCCGTATGGGGTCTCCACGGAGTACGGGTGGCTCCTGGGAGGCTCTTTCTCTTCATCCCCCTGAGAGGACTGGTCTTTGGCTGGGAGACAAAACACACGTAAAAAAGCAGCACACGTTAATAAGAATTACAGGGTCGTGAGGCCCAATATCTGTGACTTTGACTTAACCCTCTCACGTGAGACTTCTCCTAAATGTTCCTGCCTCTAATTTCGCAGAGATGCACACCACCTCACGGGTGTGCGGAGAAACCATGTTATTAAACAGTGTGTACTCAGCCAGTGTCTGCAAGGAAGCAAGCAGGGGGAACGGTTTCCAGTGTGCAGTGTGTCATCTCAGTTATTACTGTGGAATCTGCTGGCAGACCAGCGAAACAAAATTGTCTCATGCTGGTTTCCCGGGTTTCAGTCATGTAATTGCTGAACTGAAGTGGCCAGGAATTTGCTAAATCAACGTACTAATTACGAATACAGATGGTTTCAAAGGATGAGATACACAATTGTCTCAACATTGAAAAAGAACCTTGCATTATTCAAATAGGTAAACACTAGTAAATCTTGCTAAAGCCAGCAATATCAAGGCCTTCTACATCATTGACGCCTCCTCAGATGCCTGAGCCTCTAGATGCATGAAGATCAGAAAGAACTGGGACACGTAATCGTGCACAGCCCATGCTCTTTGCCACCTGAAAACTGCTTAGTGCTTAACAATCACAAATTTCACTCCCAAAAACTCATGCCAAGTGAAAAAATACCACATTTCAGCTCAGGAGAGGACGCTCGTGGAGAGCACAGAGGCCAGGAATATGGACTCTGCAGCCTGGTCTGTGTCTCAGCTCTGTGACCTCCCTGTGCCTCCTCACCTGCAAGATGGGAACAGTAACAGGTAGGATGAGATCATTGTGAGGACTGATTAATTAATACACAGAGTGCTTAGAACCATGCCTAGCGTATGATAAACATTCAACACGTGCTCCCTACTGTAGTCATTATCTTTGTGGAAGCCCAAAACATAGAGAACTGAAGCCCCATAATGGAAGCCGATTTGCTGGATACACAGGAGGGCTCCACCAATTCTTTGTGACTGACTGACTGCTAAGGACAATGGCCCTGGGGGCAAACTTACAAAATAGCAGTAATTCAGTCCACTTACCTCAACCACTATTTTTTGAGCACCTATGTGTTGGCTGCTAAGCTGGATCCTAAGGACATAGAGATGAATCAGGCATAGCCCTGCCCTTAAAAAATGTCTCATCACGTAGGAGAAACACCAAGTGCCATGCAGTGTGACAAGGATCGTAACAGATACAGGCTCAAGGAACAGTCTTCCTTCCTGACTTATTGTCCCAGTTTCTCCAGAATAACTTTCTCAGACTTAGAGGTTAATTCTGCCTTGGTAGCAGAGGGATGACTTCACGAGTGGCATACGACTGGGCGTTAAATGAACAAATAGCAATTTTCCAGGGGAACAAGACAGTGGAAGACATTGTAGCTGTCCACCTCCAAGATGGCACCATCAATTCCTACACCTCTAGACAGGCAAGGGAACCCCGCATGGAGAGGTGGGGCCTGTTTCTTCCCCCCTTTGAATCTGGGCTGGCCTGTGACTGCTCTGACCAAAGAAAAAGGCAGAAATGATGCTGAGAGAATTCCAAGGCTAGGTCACAGAAGCTTGTAAGTTCCTCCTGGGTCTCAGAGTGCACACTCGGTGGGAAGCCAGATGCCACGTGAGAAGTTCACCTTCCCGGAGACTGCTGTGCTGCGAGGAAGCCCAGGGGTCCCAAGGAGAGGTGATGGGGGGGGGGGGCGATGCCCAGCCATCCCAGCCCAGGTGCCAGGCAGGAGGAGAACAGCCTTCAGATGACTGTGGCCTCAGCCACCATCTGACTTCAACAACAGGAGGCACCCCAAGTGAGAACCACCTAGCTGAGCCTCTGTTAACAATCCATGATTGCTCCAAGCCACTAAGTTTCCGGGTGGTTTGTTATGCAACAATAGAGAGCCAGGACAGATTCTAGTTAGATGTCTGAGTATGTGCGGAGGCATGGAGCTCTGCAATTCCACGGTAATTCGGGGTTCCATAAATGCCATTGACATGGCCGGAACTGAAAGTGTGGTGTCGAAGGTGAGGGTAGAAAAAGACACCATTGGCAGGTCAGCAAGAGCCAGGTCACAGAGCATCTTGTGTGCATGGCAACAAGCTTTGACTTCACTCTGGGGAAGGGGGGCCTCGGGGGGCTTCACACGAGGGAGGGACCTGGTCAAGTGTAGCACTCCTGTAGAGCATTACAAGGACACACCAGAGGCCCGAGGACCAGCTGGGAGGCTGTTGACGTGGTCCAGATGAGAGAAGCCGAAGGGATGGAGGGAAAGGGGCAGATGACAGAGAAGGTGGAATGATGGTGTTACCTGGGGCACATTTTGGCTGCATTTCCCCCAAGGGTGATGACAATCAAGCCTTCCACCTCAATGCTGACGAGAGCTGCAGGGCCTGCGGGCAACGACCTCAGACCGCAGCAGGGGACAGGATGAGGCACTGGTGCTGATCCTGGGGTGGTCCCTGTTGGGTTCCAGAGCTGCTGTGGCAGATACCTGGACTCCAGGCGGATAAGCAGTAAACACTCCTCCAGGACCCAAAAAACTCCAAATAAATCCCCGTTCACCCACACAATTGTTTACCCATCTGCCTTCACCCGAAGAGGCACACTGGGAGTCTCAGCAAATAAGAGCAACTGCCCTCTGTCAGCTTTCCCAGCTGCACCCGGCTGTGCTCCTGGCCTACAGGTCCGCTCAGCAGCCTCCAGATTACAGGGACAGGCCAAGTCAGAGAGGAGGAATTTGTCTACAGTTAAGTAGAGAGTAGATTTATGACCCAGAAGGCAACGAACTCTTCTAAAGGAGAGGCTGCATTATTTATCTGCTTATTGCCTCAATTCAGTAGAAATGCACTGATTTACCGAGTGGCCTCTGGGAGCAGGTCCAGAGCACAAACACAATAATAGCATCAAATAAGAAACTGCAGATTCAAAGGCAAAATCTTCCACAAGGGAGACCGAGGGGAACCAAAGGTGTCTGGAGCCTGAGCAGCTATCCAGGATGATGGGTGTAATCCGCACTTTCCTAAACTAGCCCTACAGGGCATCGTGCACACACACACCGACACACACACACACACACACACACACACGGAGTGATCGGCTGTGCCGCGTGCCTGCCAGCTGCCACTCTGCGTCCCTTTCTCCCAGTGCAAGAGGAAAGCTGGACCTTGAATGAGCGTACTTGACTGGATAGGCTGGGAGACCTGCGCTCCCAGTGAGCTCTGCTCCTCTTAATTCTACCTGGTGACGGGTATGCAGGAGCTCGGAATTCCGGGCACGAGGCCAGGGCAAGAATTAATTAGGAGGACCATCTCTGCTCAAAATGAATTTCACATCAGATAAACCAACACAGAGCCAAACTGGCTGAGAGCTGCACGCAGACGCGGGAAAGGGGATGGGAGGGCACAGGGAAGGAGGGAGGGACCCCGTAATTATCTTGAGGGACAAAGTAAAGTGCAACAGGTGAGTGAACCAATCAGAGGCAGTTAAAGTGAGAAAAAAAGTCCAAAAGCCTATATCAGTTTCTGAAGGAAATGGGAAAAGCAGAAACTAGAGGGAAAGTGGCCAAAAATACAGCTGGAAAGACGGGGAATTTAATGAGCCTCTTTAACAAGCAGAGACAGCGATGGAAGCGTCTCACTCTCCTGCCTTTATTTTGTGAGACGTTTGTGCGTGTGTGCCTGGGGGAGCGGGCCTGTGCTGGGCGGGCTGTGAGCGATCACGTGGGGAGCTGCAGTGCGGGAGGCTGAGCAGGGACAAATGAGGCAGGCAAGGACGACAGGCCCTGGGGGCATTAAGGGAATCAGCTGGGGTTCTGTGCCACCACTTCCATGGATGCACTGAAAAGGCAGCTCTCTGGGGAGAAAGGCAGACTCTTGAAATATACGATGACTGCATTTGGAAAGAAGGAAGAGGCAGGGCTGGAGCTGCTGTCTGGTCCCTAAGTCCTGCGCCAGCCAGGGAAGGGTCACGTGCTTCAAGGGGGATTATAGGCTCTCCTGTTTCCTGACATTTGGTGATCTGGAAAAAGCATTTCATTAGAAGTCAGGAAACGCGGGGCTAGCCTATGACCTTCAGCAAGTTTCCTGGGGTGGGGGGGGGGGGAACATTGATGGAGATATTCACTGTGCGAGATGACAGTATACTGAACAACCCTACGTGCATTATCTCATTTGGTCCTTTACCAACCCTGTGCAGTAGGTGTTAATACCTGCATATAGACGAGGTGTGGGAGACTGTTTCCAAAAATAGCCACAAGTATACCCCACCTCTGGGTGCTCCCCTCCCACAGTGACCCTGGCTTGGCCTTGTAACTTGCTTTGGCCAGTGGGTCCACAGCAAATGTAACATACGCAGAGAGCTGAAAACTGCTTGCACGCTGGGGTTTGTCTGTTCTTGCTGTGCTAGGAACCCTTCTGCCACCATGAGAACAAACCCCAGCTAGCCTGCTGGACAGCGAGAGACACGTGGCCAAACCACCAACAATGCCCCAGGAGACATGGGGCCAACCTCCAGACATGGGAGGGTAGCGATTCTAAACCATCCAGCCAAGTCACCCAGAAGACCTCCGACACGTGAACAAGCCCAGCAAAGATCAGCCAAGCCGGCCCAGACCAGAATAACAGCCCAACCCACAAAATCTTCTGAGAAATAATGAATACCTTTAAGTCAATAAACTCGAGTGGCTTGTTACACAGCAAAGCTAACTGATACACGAGGGGACGGGGGCTCAGAGAGGGTAAATGACTTGGAGAATCACACAGGTGTGAGTGGAGGCTCTTTCACCACATTGAGCCTCTTTCTTAGACCACAGGTCCCTCATGTCTAAAATGAGGGTAATGAGCAAGAGCATGCTGCTCCCTCCTTGGTGCATGGACGAGATGCAAAAACACTCTGAAAATTACACAAGTCCGAAATAAATACCTGGCTTCATGCTCATTCCTTACCGCCTTCTCTTGTTCATACCTTAAATATATGGTTTGGGTCTCCCAGCACCACCTGTGTGCGGACCGTGTCCTGCAGGTCCCCTGGGCTATTCCAGGATTGATGGTACCCATCCCTTCCCAACCCCTTTTGCCCACTTTAACCCAGGGATAGCCCGCAGCCTGCCTACCCTCTGTCTTCTCCATCGTAGGGAACGCTGACCGTCAGTCTCTCAGGCACTCTTCATCTGACAAGTCTGTAAAATCCACCGGAGAGCCCTGAAAGAAAGGACAGAAGAGTGGAGATTCTCACTAGAGTTGGAATAAGTCTGGAGGGAACAGAGCACCTGAGAAAGTAACACCCATCCCTGCCTTTCTCCCAGGGGTGCCCATGAGCTCAGAGTCCTCCAGGAAGGGAGATTAAAAGCCTGTACACACCCCCGGAGTCCGATCCTGGGTGTGTCCTCATGGAACGGTAGCAATGGTTGGCAGCAAAGGAACATTTGGTCCAAGCCCTCAGTTGGCAGAGGAAACTGAGGCTCAGAAGTTGACTGCTCTGTGCAAGGCCTCAACACGACAGTGAAGGAGCTGGAGCCAGAGCCAGGGCTCTGACGACCAGCACGGTGCTCTACACCACACCAAGAGCTGAAATCGACTCAGCCCATCGTGGTAAAAGAACTTCAATCCATTTTGTGAGAAAGCTGGGATCAGAGTACCTATAAACGACCTGTGACATCCCAATCAGGTTCAAGACAGAGATGATGTCATTATAGGCTCTGACCGGGAGCTGACACCCAGAGGTGACTTCTGATTGTGTTCACCTGGATGGCCAGAGGACATCAGGAACTATCAAGCAGAACACTGGCCTGGCTCTGAATTTGGGTACCTTGAGGTTCAATCACAAATTCTCCCCAAAGTTTTAATCCATTCCCAGGACTCTTTCTTTGAACGGTAAACAAAGTGGCTCCTGCCCCCATTACAATAAATCCCCCAGGAAATCAGTCTTCTATGGTCACACCTCCACGCACATCGGAGTAATGAGTTGTCTGTGACAAGTCAGCTGTGGGTGTGGGGTTGTTGTAGGAATTCCAATGTGCTTGACAATGAACTCCAGGGTTCGGGGAGACTGGGAGTGACAGGTGGGTGAGGGGCGGCCCCCAGCAACCAAGGATGCACAAGGAGGGAACAAACAAGCAAACCGGAGAAGAGGGCAGGGAAAAGCAGGCCCACCAAAGAGGAGGTGGTCCCAGGCTTGCCTGACTGGGAGTCCATGTGCCCTCTCCCCATGAGCACTGCTCCAGCCCTGGCTCCCCCAAACCACGGGCACGCGGCCACCAGAGGGGCCCTTCCCTGAGCACGTGTGATGGCTGGAGGGCAGACGGAGACACTCCCCACAGAGGGAATGCCAACACTGAGTCCACCGCTCCCCTTGGAGGCGACAAGCACTTGGTTTGGGTGGCACAGAGCTGGAGTAGAGGAGGGGTGAGGGATAAGGAGATGGAGTGAGGCAGTCCTGGATGCGGAGACTGGCCACCCAGAGGGGTGGAAAGTTCTAACCTGGATAAGGAGATGGAGTGAGGCGGTCCTGGAGGCGGAGACTGGCCACCAAGAGGGGTGGAAAGTTCTAACCTGGGGCGAGGGAGGTCTCCCTTATTAGAAAGAGAAGGTTCTGAAACAGCCCAAGTGTCCTCTGACAGGTGAATGGATAAAGAATGGAATACTACTCAGCCACAAAAAAGAAGGACGTCCTGCCATTTGCGACAACATGGATGGACTGAGGGCATTATGCTAAAGGAAATAAGTCAGACAGAGGAAGACAAATGCTGCATTTTTATGTGGAATCTAAAAAACGAAAAATCGAGCTCACAGATACAGAGGACAGACAGATACAGTGGTTGCCAGAGGCCAGGGGGTGCAGGGGTGGAGGAAATGGGTGAAGGGGAGCAAAAGGTACAAACTTTCATTTATAAAATAAATAAGTCCTGGGGATGTATGTACAGCAATGGGGACTATAGCTAATAATACTGTAGTGTATATTTGAAAGTTGCTAAGAGAGTAAATCTTAAAAGTACTCATCACCAGAAAAAAACATTTGATATATGTGTGGTGATGGATGTTAACTAGACTTATTGTGGTGAGCATTTCAGAATACACGCCTGTATCAAATCATTACGCTGTACACCTACCACCAATGCAGTGTTGTATGTCAATTACATCTCGATTAGAAAAATAAGAGGTCACTGCGGCTGCTCTCGGTGCCCAGGTCCGTGGTCTGCAGTGGGCAGAGAGGTTCAGCAGCTCCAGGGTGAGCCTGGGGAGGAAAAGCATGAGGCCACAGGCCCTAAGCTGGGCCCCGGGCCTGCCTCCCATCATCACAGCCTCTCCTCTGCCCTCTGCCCCTTCCTGCCACCCCATAGCATGTCTGAGCATGGGGCAGGCTCAGAGCACTGGATGTGCACAGATTGTCTCAAGCGATCCTCACCATAACCCCAAGGGGACTGTTATTGTCCCATTTCTCAGATAGGGAGACTGAGGCTGGCGGAGGTAACAGGGCTCCCCAAGACGCATAACGAGCAAGTGTTGGAGAAGATGTGCCCTCAAGTCCAGCCGACGTCAAGCCTGTGCTGGGGACGAAGTGACCTGTGAACATCTGCCCGCCCCATGAGGCGGCCTGCTGCTGTGACGGACCTGAGCTCTCATCGGGAGGGAAGCGCTCCTGAGCCATGTTCCTCTGATTCCCCACAAGTGCACCTGAAACGCCCTCTGGGTGTGAGGCAGGGAACTGCCCTCCTAGGGCCTTCTGGCCAGAGGTGTGGCTGGCTTCTCCAAGGCTGGACTCCAAGCAGTAAGGACCCCCCCAAGCAGAGGGGGCCCCCTGGTGCAGCTGGAGCTCTGGCTGCACAAGCTCTCACCCTCACCTCGGAGAGCTCAGTCAAGCACTGCCTTTGGTTAGATTAGGATTCAGCCCTTCGTACGTCACATCACGGAGATCCAAACAATTACACAGCGCAGAGTAGGTCAAATTCCATTAAAAAGAACTCTATAGAGACCTCTAATAGTCCTCTTTGACTTGAGGTTTACTGAAATTTAATCATTCCAAGGCTACGGAAATTAAACGGAGCTGACACCCCGGCTCTGAAGGGGAGGGCCCAGCAGGCTTTCACTCTAAAGGGCTCTCAACTCAGGAGGGAAGGGGAGCTGCCAGCCCCCTAAGGCCCTTCCAGCCCTTCCACCCCAGCTTCTCCACTTTGGCCCACGGTCCTTGCGGCGGACACCTTGGAATGCGGCTAAGAGGGCTTTCTTCCAGCGGGTGGGCGTGTGCTGGGGTCCGATGAGCGGAAGGGAGAAGTAACTGCCACATCAACACAAGCTGTTTCGTTTGCAATACAACAGAATATGAGGAATAGCTTTGTTGGACAGAAATCCCCTTTAAAATGGAATTTTGCAACCTTCTGGAGCATTTAAAATTCTGACATAAAGCAATTTATTATTCGTTCTGTTAAGCACGTTCAGAGCCTTGCAGTACCTGGTGTCATGCAACTTTTCATCTGTTTATGGCCTATCCCAGCTCAGGGATGCCCGATGAGGTCCCATCTTCTCTCAGTAGCTCATTCTATCCCAGATGTTTGAGGATACACGGCTTTATCTCTCTCTAACCCTTCTCCCTGTGAATCTGTGAAGGTCAGAACTCCTGAAGGACTCATTTCTGTCTCCCCCACCTCCACACTCCCTGTCTCCTAACATGTGGCAGTCACTCAGTCCACGGGACCATCTCCAAGCTACAAATGAGGAAACGAAGTCACAAAGAGGCCGTGTGGCCAATCCAGTTACCCGGTTTACTAGGGGTAGGACCATTTGTGCGACTCCATCACCCCACATGGCCGTCAAAGCCAATGGGCAGTGAAGAGGGGGGACTGACGCTCCCCATTCAAAGCCCGCCGAGGAGGCGGCACTGGCAGACTGAGTGGGGCCACGTGTAACCACCAGGCCTCCTTGGACGGTTCTGCAGGGTCCACGCCCAGCAGCGTGGCTTCCCCAGGTCGGCCCAACTCCGTTGAATATGCCCACTCCCATCCCCCTCCACATTTATTTCCCTTATAGTGCCATTTTCAATCTCATTTCTAACCTCAAAACCGAATGCAAAGAAACCTTCCTCAGTCCTGAAACCGAAACCCAGTTCTGTACTTTTGTTCTCCTCAAACCTCTCTTTATTCTGCAATAATAAAAATGCCATATTTCATCTCAGAACGGGCTACATGCCAAAACAAACAGCACCTTGGATTTCCTTGAAAAGAAAGCTTGGCTCAGAGCACAGCCTTATTGCCATGAGAATTCTTGGAGAATTCAACCTTACAAAGTCAAATATTTAGCAAGGTAGCACACCCAAGAGCCCTCCTGTCAGTTCCCGCATGATCTCTTGCAAAGACAAAGCACTCTTTCCGAAAGAGAAAAAATATTACCCATACCTCGTAGAATCCTGCCAAAATGAGGACAGTCTCCTGTCCCCTATCCCAGGGCCCACACCCCCAGCGCAAGGGCCCTGTGCTAAGAAGCAGGAGGCACCTGACAGCGCTGCTCCACACGGAGGGCTGCAGCCCAGACACGGGGTGAGACGCACTCCTGGAAAAGATTCCACCAGACGAGTTCTCCAGCCGGCTCTCCTCCCGCCGACCCGGGACACAAAGAGATAACTCACGCTCAATAAACGACACATTAACACAACCTCATTAACTCCATCCCCACATTTTTCTGCAAGTGCCGGTGGTTTTTGCCTGCATTGCAGCAGCTGAATCGGGGCTTCACGAAGAAGAAGAAACTGGGAGCAGAGACGCTGCCACCGCATCACCTTCCCTTGGCATCCTCCCCGCCAGAGCCTGGAGCCAGCAGCCGGCTCCTCCCCGAGGGCGAGGCTGCCGCTGGACCGGAGCGATTGCTCGCGAGTTCAGCGCGGCCGCATCGGCTTCCCAGCTGTTAAGGGATCTGGTCAGGTGATCCGTGACCTTGCTGGAAAAGCAAATCCTGGCTTCCTTTTCGCTCCCAGGAAGAGGGGAGTGAGGTCAGGAAGGCATTCAATGCTCAATAAGCTGCTACTGGATCTTGCAGAAAGAGCAAGAAAGCGCAAATCCTTCCATTGGAAAGTTAGTTCCCAGAGCTGCTAGCACTGGGGAGGGACACATCTAAAGACGGCGAAACAGCACACACCCGCTTCCCCCCGCATCGAGGCGCTCACCGTTAATTAGGCTTTTCCTCCCGCCTTCCCGCAGCTGATGAGGCTCATTAGTAAAACTCTTCCTAACAAGGACACAGCTTCCTTAGGAGTTGAAACCCTCCCGTGGTACCTCTCTTTCTTCCAGGCTCGCCCCCTGTCCCCACCGCCTCCTGCAGCCCCACAGCCCGCGAAGCTTCCCTCTGCGAAGAATCCCAGACCGCGGGCTGCCCTGGGCACTCAGGGGCTGGAAGTCCGCCGGCCGAGCAGCAAGAAACAACGAGACCGGTGAGTCCCCGCCAGACTGGCCGCTGCTGCTCCCTGCCGCTCTCCCCGTCAGATGCCCCAGCACTGAAACGCCCCCAATCCTGGCAGAAAGAAAGGCGAGCAGGTACCTCCTGGCAGGACCCGGCTCGTGCAGGGTCCCTCGCTGCAGTGCGGAGCAGTGACTTCAGAGGGCGGGCGCGGGAGCCAGGGAGAAGGCAGCTGTGCGGAGGAAGGTCCGTGTCCGGGCAGGCGCCGGGGCAGTCCCAGCCAGCCCGCTGCCCGAAGCTCTTTGGGGCAGGGGCAGGTGTGAGGCGCGGGCACAGCTCCAGGCTCGCGGAGCCCAGCACCACTGCTGGACCTGAAGGAGATCCGGAGGGCGGGGGCGGTCAGAAAGGGGCCGGAGAGCGTCTGGGCTCCTGTGGGCAGGCTCAGCACTAGGATTTCAGGGTTAGGCTCTCGCCAAACGCGGCTGTCCTGGGAAATGAAGCCCTGTCAGTAAGGCATGTCCCAGCAGCTCTGACCTTCAGACACTGCCTGTCAAAGAGATGAGCTTTCAAAGGTCGGGGCAGATTCCTGCCGGGCCCACGCTGAGACAACGCCAGAGCCGAGCATCACTCCAAAATGCTGCCTGCATCCGGCCCAGTATGCCCAGAAAGCATGCACATCCTGGGTCCCACATATCCTCGAGCCAGCTTGGGGCAGCCAGACGGGTCTGAGCATCTCCATCGTACTGGGGAAGAGAGACAGTCCAAGTGCCTTCTCTTGGCTCCCTCAGGAGGATACCTGGATTAAAATGAAGATTCCTGGGGTAGAATTCTGCGTTCTCCCCACTACACTGGATCACATTCCTTATTTTCCTTGGAAGGTTCCAGAGCATCTTGCTCAAGAGGGAGGTTAAGAGACTTGCCAAAGGGCAGAGGATGATGCCACGGACAAGACTATGGAACGCCGACCCTCACTTTCTCAGCTGCTCAAAGTATTTTTCTGTGTTAACTAACTACACAGAACAAATCAGCAGAATTAAAAAGAAATCAGAAATATAACGTGAATTCTGAGGTTCTATGAAAAAATACGCTGAGGAGGAAACTGCCTCCCTGATAGACTGAAAGTAGCCATCCCCCACGCCAGCTAGAGAAGGCGAGAGGCAGCTGACACTTCACCGGGAAGCTGAGAGACAAGAGCGCCCCACTCTCCCAGGTCCCATGGCTTTGCGGCCCCCCACTCTTCCCCTCTGGCTTATCCGTGTAATGAAGATCAGTATTCTCTCCGGGGATAAATTCTTCCTTAGCCAAGAGAAAGAGCTGCAAGGCTTACTTGTAGAGCTGTGCCTTTCTCACAAGACCCAACACTCGTCGGGAACACTGGCCAGTCCCCACCTGTCCTCTGAGCTCGGTCGGCATCCCTTCCAGGGGCAGCGGCCAGCCTCCCCGCTTCCATGGCTCCTGTCTGCCCTCTCCTGCAGCAGGAGTCACCTGAACTCCAACTGCTGCCTCTGTGTGCGTCTCCCCAACCAGACACTCCACAAGGTTTGTGAAACGGAACTCACCCACAATACGGATGGCTCTACACCCAGGAGACCCCTCCAGATACCACCTTAAGGACCAGGGGAGCCCCCTGCTTTTCCAAGAGGCTCCAGGCCTCCCCTCAATTAAAAAGACAGCGGAAGGAGGGGAGGAACCACCAGCCCCGGGAGGGCCACCCATCAGCCCGGCTCAGGGGCCAGGACAGAAGACCCACGGGGAGCACACACAGCCCTGACCCAGCTCCTCCTCTTTTCAGACCTCTTTCTGGAGAGAAGCAGCACTCGCAGCTCCTGGCTCCACGAGGTACGCTGGGACAGGCCGCGTGCTGACTGCCACAGCTCTAAGAAGAGGAGAGATTCTTGTCTTCCGTGTCTCTCTGACTGACCCCGTGCACTCACTCAACTCCACGGTCAAGCAGGGAGGTGAGCAGAACCGGGGACGTTACCCCGTTTGCCCGAGGAGGAAGCAAGGTGGGTTCCCAAGCTTACAAAGCTGAAAAAGGCAACTGGAGCCCACATCTTCTGCCCCCCAGCCCAGTCCCCTTTCTCCCAAACCACACGCCTGAACCCGGGTATGCAGGGGAATGCCGGAGACACACCAACACCAGGAGTGAGCCTCGGAGCTGGGGCTGTCTGGGCAGGAGGGGCCTCACGTTTAGGGGAGGTCTTCATAGGAAACCCCAACCACTCTTTCTAGGGGAGTCCATGCTTCTTTTTGGGGGACTCTTTCCATGACCCCTGACCCTTGCCATGTCTGGGATGCCAGCACGCCCCACCCCTGGGCCTCCCTCAACATACGTCTGAAGACTAGTGGCCAACTTCATGTTACCCCAAGCCCCCCAGAGAATCTCCTGCACAAATGCGTTTATCCACAGGAGCTCTTCTGGCAAGAATCATTTGGCTGAGAGGGCGCTGCCTCGTATGCAGAGAAACCTCCAGCTTCTACGGCCCAGGTCCCTTCGGCCCCAGGATGGGAAAAAGGTGGACTGTCCGAGCCAGGCAAGATGGGCACTTGGTGAGCGGGGAAAGAGCCAGAACTATTTTAAGAATGTGCCTTTTATGTTGCCGTCCCTCAGGCTTTTGCACTTTGCTCGGGAAGGTCAGCCGCTGGACGTCTGTGCGATGACACGGGGCGGAGGAGGAGTGAGCTGCTCAGGTCCCTGAGCAGCCCGGGACAGCCACACCATCCTGACCCGGTGCAACTTGGACAGAGGGAGCGAGTGATCACGTGTGAGGCCTGCGGGGGGCCTGTCCCGGGGAGTCCCCAGTCTGACCCTCTGAAGCGGAGGACGCTTCTCAGAGAGGAAACAGGACCAACTGCAGGAGAGAGGCGGCTGCGCGAACCGGGACAAACGCTCCTCGGAGAAAAAGACGCGTCAGGGCCACGGGAAAAACGGCACCCCTCGTCCCTCCCTCCACTTAGACCTTTCCAGAAGGTGCCTGGTCCCTGGCAAACACACTGTAGGATGGAGACGCCAACAGACAAATGAGGAAGGGGCGTGAGCAGGCGACCCAGAAGAGAAGAAATACCAGCGGTTAATATTTGAAACACTTAACCGCATGAGTCAGTAATCAAACAGATGCCGGGTAAACACGGCAGCACCATGGTCTTAATGCAGCCCACACGTGCCAGGCACTCCGGGTCCAGTGCAAACGCCCCCGGTTCAGGTTCC